CATTCCAATCCTTTCCCCAGTGTATAAATCTGGCTGATGCAGCCGTTACACCAGCTCTGTGCTGCATCAGGATTACATGGCACATGTGAAGCCCGTGTCCTCCTACGCTTGGTCAAATACAGGATGACACATGGCATCAAGCATGGAATTTGAGTGTGTTTGTGTGTGTGTGTGTGTGTGTGTGTGTGTGTGCCAGTCCCTCTGATGCTGGAACTCTGGAAGTTAGACTTGTGATACCAAAATAGCCGCCCAAATATGTGTTCAGACCTTATCTAAGAGGCAGTTACAAACTTTTTTAAATACCAGACGCAACTTTACAGCTTTTTTCTTAACAGTAAAATAACTACAAATGGTTAAAATAAACCTATCCCCACAAAGCTGCATGTCTTTGGACGGTGGGAGGAAGCCGAAGTACCCGCAGGGAACCCACGCAAACACGGGGAGAACATGCAAACTCCACACAGAAAGACCCCGGCCTGATGTTGGAATTGAACTCAGGACCTTCTTGCTGTGTGGCAACAGTGCTAACCACCGTGCCACCGGGCTTCCTCCCAACGTCCAAAGACAGCTTGTGGGGATAGGTTAATTGGATAATCCAAATTGTCACTAGGTGTGAATGTGCGAATGAGTGTGAATGCTTGTCTGTCCTTGTGTGTTAGCCCTGCGACAGACTGGCGACCTGTCCAGGGTGTACCCTGCCTCTCGCCCTATGACAGCTGGGATAGGCTCCAGCGCCCCCCGCGACCCTGAAAAGGATAAGCGGAAGCGAATGGATGGATGGATGGTTAAAATAAAGGATGAAAGTGAAGCTGCTAATTTACTGTTAAGTCTACATTCCTGCTCTCAGCAAGGACCATGAGCTGTGTGTAGCATCGGAAACAATATGTGGATACATGCACTGGAAATGAGCTTGCTCTGAAAGGTAGCTGGGCTCTCTTGTTCATACAGCAGAGGCTCAGAATGGTGCACATCCACATCAAAAGCAGTAGGTGAGGTGACTCAGGCATCTGACACCTCTTAGGTGAGGTGTTCTGGCCCTGGGGAAGACCGAAGACATGGGAAAACCTCAGTGTAACCCCAAGAAAAGCTGGAGGAGCTGGTTAGGAAGTCTCACCTCTGCTTAGACTGTTGAACCTGCGACCCAGATAAGAGGCAGAACATGGATGGATGCATATTATGAACCGTTACCTGTGCAGATTAGCTCTACAGTAGACGTGTTATGTTCGATCTGCTTCATTGTTACTAAATCTATATCTTCTTTTTATTTTGTGAGGAACAAAATATTGTAGCACTCTTAGCAACACATTATAGCACGACCTGTGACTAAGGATAAAACTCCCCTCTAAATAAGTGGAAGTTTTATGCATTTTCTTTGAAATTACAGTGTAAATATATACAATATAAATGGTAGGTATGCTATAATAAAAAGGTAACAAATCAGATTTTTAAAGGAAACAAAGAAATAATTATACCGTAAGTAAATTTGACTACAGTGGTCCCTCGTTTATTGCGGGAGTTACGTTCTAAAAATAACCCGCGATAGGTGAAATCTGCGAAGTAGCCAACTTTATTTTTTATTATTATACATGTTTTAAGGCTGTAAAACCCATCACTCCACACTTTATACACTTTTCTCAGACAGGCATGAACATTTTTACACTTTTCTCTCTTGTTTAAACACTCTCGAAGTTCAAACCTTCTTAGAAAAATAAGTCCAGTATTATAGAATGAAACCAAAGATCAAAACCTGTTTTCAGGTCCAGAACATGGAAATAGAACAGCTGCGAGAGAATCAATGGTGCAGAAGTAGAGGAAGCAAGAAGACTGAGTTGAATAAAGTTTGACTTACCTGACTGTTTTGTTTTGCTTAATGCGCCTTATAATCCTTTGACATTGACACTGTTGTGTTTGCTGTCTTCTGCTAGCGAAGATTTATGTAAATTTGACAAGCTGAACGCATTCTGTGCTGTACAGGAGACACAGCACGAGATTGATTGAAAATTGTCTACAACCAAGCAGGACGCTGAACACAATGCGTTGTAAACACACAATTTTTTAAAATGTGTGTCTACAAAATTTGATTCTCCATTATCTCTGTAGAGTATGCTCCCTCTTCTCGCTGGCCTACATTTGTTTTGCTCCCGTGCACCTGTCCGTGATGCGTCACTGCCCTTTTTTAAATGCATGCTACAATAAGCTCTAGCTACCTATGACCTGAATCTGAAAAAGTCAGAAAGAAAATGCAAATAAAGAGCGGAGCAGTAGTCTTTTAGCAGGTTTTGTCAGTGACCAAATAGATTTTTTTCCAAATGGATTTGTTACACAGCTCCACATCCAACCTCCACTCATGTGTGCATGACGAGTGTAAAAATTATGTCCCACTCTAAATGTTGGGATGTCAGTGTCTAATAGTAAAAGACTTGCATGTTCCCTTGTTTTCCAGGAGGTATGCCAGTGCCTGAGGTGGCGTCTGACACTGCCAGCGCTGCTACCATGTTGAGCCCCGTCCTCAATGCCTCCAACGGAGACGGCTCCGAGTCTGAAACCACCTCCGCCATCCTCGCCTCAGTCAAGGAACAGGTTAGAAGTCCGTGTGTGTGAATGTGCGTGTGAGCGTTCTTGCGAGTGTGCGTGCGACGTAAATGGAGGGCTGTCACAATTAATGAAATATGATCACCAGAATGTAGTGAGGATAATTCCCCATCCTTTCGGGGCGAAACAAGCTGACGGTAAACAGTAAACACAAATGATGGAATGCCCATCTGAGCTAATGTGTCACAAATATGTCACCACATTTTGATCTGTTAGGAGAGAGCCTTGGGCTACAGATGCTCAGTATTATTTTTGAAAATACCCTAATGCAGTAGGACGCATCATTCGCCCACATTTTGTCAAAGTCTGAGCAGCTTTGTTGGAAATTCTATGTGTGACTAAGCATCCAGCAGATTTTTTTACAGTACAGTCAAGATTGGGCAACACAGCTGGACTGTGTTTTGTGTTGGTTATGCATTAATGAAGGCTAAAGACTTTAATGATTTTTTATTTACAATCCCTTTTTTGAATACACTTAACTCAGGTATGCTAATTTTAAATTGTACTGATTTAGTTGTATATATAACAGTAAGTCATGTAATGTTGTGTTATAATTATCAGACTTTTAATACATGAGCTTGTGGTAAAGAAAAAAAAATACTGCAAAAGACAATGAATTTGAATAAAACACATGGAAATAGAAAAAATATAACCAGAGTTATATACAATGATACAGAGATACAATGAAAGTGGACCAAGATATTCACAAAACAAGTTTTTTTTAGGGAGACATGATAGAACAGATGCAGAAGTGACAGATGTTATTAGCCATTTACTGGTAGCTACTGCGTTATTGTCTCTCCAAAAACACTTCCTTTGTGGTTTGTGAGTTTTGTTTTGTTTTTGTTGGGGGTTTTTTGTGAGATTTTGCAGTCTTTTTCTATTTACTGCCCTTTTTTTAAACTTGCAGTGCATTTGACCTTTCAGGGCCACTGTATGTAATCAACCAACCCATAACCAAAGATAAATGTGATAATACCTTAATAAGCAGGTTTCAAAGAACTGGTCAGACCCGTGAATATCTATATCATAATTTTGACTAAGGTAAGAAATGAAATGTCTTGAGGGAAGCACGGTGCCACAAAGTTCTACACATAGAGGCTTTGTTTGGATTTATTGTTTCCCCAACTGTTGAAAAGGCCAATAGCACTGGATTTATTTGGAATCGTGCAACAAAAGCTGGGTAAATACTACACTAAACAAAGTTAATTCTTCAGCTCTAATCTGCTTTGAACTGTCAAAACAAACACTTGGTGCATTTCAGATTCGATGCTCATTATTGCAGCTTATAGTACATTATGTTACATACAGCATATGCATCAACACAGGAGTGTTGGGATCCTAAAGAATGAGACAAGAAACAGAAGAGTTGAAGGAAAAAAACCCTTTCTATTAGTTATAATGCTCATGATGGCAAGTTCATACAACAAGATGTATAAAGCAGTAGAGTGCTAAGTAGAAAAGCACTATATGACTCAGCCCATTTACACGTTTGAATTCATGTTGGGATATTTCTAATCCATGCAGGGTCAAGATTATGCATACAGCCTCAAATATAGACATACACTCATTTAAATATGTTAATAAGTGGCGCTGTTCTTCAATGTCTTTTAACTTGACAAGGCCAAGACCTATTAACTTCTCGTTAGTGATCATGATTAACTACAACTGTTAATTTTTCTTTGCCGATTAACAAATAGCCAGAACAATGGAAAAGTTCAGGGGACTCAGTGATGATCTAAGAAGAAGAACTGAAGATTCTGAAGTTCACACAAGTTTACACAAATCGATGCTTAAAAGATAAAAAGAAAGCAGGCTAACATTAAGCTTGGTCTTCCCAAAGCCCCAAACTCAACTCTACTGAAAGTTTGTGGATTCTGCTTAAAATGTGGGTCTGTACAAGGAAACCAACCAATTCAAATAGACTGTACCAATTCTGAAGAAGGGTCGTCAACTATCCAGTCAAAATTATGTTATGTAATTAGATGACTGCCAAAGGGTCTAGTCACGGTGCAATGTTTTAGGGTACATTTAACCAAATATTATTTGGGTTGTATGTATATATTCTTTGTACAGCAGCAGCAACCAACCTCTGGGCCACGTACCGGTCCGTGAGTTGTTCGGCACCGGCATAGCTGGATTGGCCATTTGCCCGGTGGGCTGATGGTGAGTTTTCAATTTTATGGGCGGATGTTTTTTTGTTTGTTTTTTTGTAATGGTATAAACAATGAAAGGTGGGGATTGGCTAATGTGTCATGATCAACTCTGGGCTTGACCAATTACGGCCGAGGAGGTTGGATGGAGACCCCGCCCCCTTGCTTGGGCAATAGCTCTGAAAGCAGTCTTATCACAGACAAACAGAAGAAAATGGTATTGAGATGAAAAGGAATGCAATTTGTCCCGTACTTCAGCTAGAATGAAAAAAAAGACACAAAGCTGGAGCTATTCTGTGTCTTTACGCTGTCAGCTGCCTCTTCTTCTCTCATTCCCTCCCCCTCCCTCTCTTGTTGCTACTTCAATCATGAAACTGATCAATGATCGGCTGATCGGCTTTTCTCTTTTGTTTATCGTTCACTTTGCGCCAGAAAGACGAAACCAGCTGATGTTGCGCTAAAAAACAGCAGCACATTTAAGCTTAGTAAGCTGTTGTTAGAATTCATTTAAATGGTAAATGGTAAATGGCCTGCATTTCTATAGCGCTTTACTTAGTCCCTAAGGACCCCAAAGCGCTTTACACTACATTCAGTCATTCACCCATTCACACACATATTCACACACTGGCAATGGGAAGCTACAAGCTTAATATTAATTTCTAGTATCAGCTGATGTTTGTTGGAGCCACAGCTGTAAAGCTGCTGGTCATGATGTCGGTTTGGATATGTGGTGAAAGGGAAACATGAAGATGAAACCAGGAGATGTCCTTACTGAATCATCAGAGCTGAACAGGTGATGGAGAAACAGGTTTACCTTTTAGGTGACGTGAATGAGTTGAAGGGAAGTTATAAACTGTTTCTGAGAGACAAATAACACCAGGATCCTTTTTTTACTTAGCTGACAGCTGGTAACTGTGCAGGGGCGGGTCTTGTAAAGTTATGCCAGGGGGCCAGGTAGGGCATTAACAGGGAAAGGGGGGCAAAGAAATACTTTTCTTTCTTATTCTCATTTAAAATGTCTAGCTTTTAATAAATAATTATCTGAATCTTACAACCAAAGTGGTCATCAGATGTAAAATGTATAGAAATCATAGATAAATACCAACAAGATAGTGTACATCACTGTCACAACAGCGTTTGTTTTCATTTAAAGGCTTTATGGCTTTTCCTATAATACCTGGTGGGCCGGTCTCCATGACATCTTAAAGGTCCGTGAAAATATTGTCGGACATAAACTGGTCCGAGGTGCAAAAAAGGTTGGCGACCACTGGTGTACAGTATATTGAAGCTGTATGTATAATTTTCACTGTGTGGATTAGAAAAAAATCCTTTAAAAAAGTCTTCAAAGAAATCATTAAAAGCCCCCAAATTACCATAACATTCATGCCTATGACAAGTGTATATCAACTCAACTGTAAACATCCAAAGTGGGGATGTTTACTCTGCATGGAGCTGAACAGAGGAAATGTGAAGAAGCCAAAGATAGCTGTTAAAAATGCTGAAAGCAGGCTAAGATAATGGATTGTTCATGTTTTTCACTCAGTGATTTCTGTGAGTTACTACAACGTCCCGAGATCCATTCCTGATCTAAGTAGGTCACGTAGACTTGGACGGTCACACACACGTAGGTCGTGTACACACACCTACACACAAACTTCCACATCATCTAGGGCATGGTAATGGCCTTCTGATGAGAAGGTGTGAAAGAAAAAGGCAGAAGAGAAGGACGTGTCAGCTGTCCGAAGAAAGTGAAGACAAACAAATAGTTGCTCACTCACTCCTCTTCATCCGACTGCACCACGGTGAAGGTTCGTTATTCCTTAAGCCAGTCATTTGTCACTTCCTTTCAAACTTGTTTTTGCATTGTGCCATTTTTCACTACGTTTGGGCCGATGCCAGTGTTTGTTACCAGGCACTAAAAAACCCACGTATTTTATGAAATAGTGTGGGTGCCCAAACTTCCTGTTTGGTTCATAAAGACAGGGTCGGTCAGGCATGAGAAAAAGCTTCACCCACACTCTCACACACGGACATGCAGTCTGCAAAAAAAAAACCAACAGTCCACAAACACATGCGTTTACACACTGCCAATCAAACTTTTTTGCCTCTGCTGACTCACACCAGGAGATCCCTGCTGCTGTTTTTCCTTCGTTTCCTTCTCCCCGCGTGAGATTGATTAGCCATTCGACGTTGTATTTATCACATCTGTCAGCTTTTGTCCTTGTATCGTTCATCATCTCTTTGCTGTCACCACATCTGCTACTGGGGAAAGCACAGTGTGAAGTCTGAAAGAGTTTGATTCTACTGTGAGACATGGCCTATTTGAGAAAGCTGACATATTGTCTTATTGAATGACAGATCAAGTGAAAGTAGCTCAGGGTATTGATTAACTGTCTTTTGCTTACAGCTTGGTAGCATCTGACAATCCAGTCGGTTCTGAAATATCAAGTTGTGAATGTGCATTCAGCAGTCATGGATCTACAACAGCAAGAAGGCCACACAAGGTTTTGTGCCAGTGTGCAGTGTGTAGCAGTGCTAGCTTATAAACTTAGCACTCTACTATGGGAAGCGTAATATTTTTTCTACTGATAGCATTTTTTAACAAGGGATTGATTGATTGGATTGATTTACACTATGCTCTCTTTAAAGACACAAGACTTATTCAATATGCTGGTCTAGAACTTCCTCAGGATCCCTCATACTGTAACTACTTGGCTCTGAAAATACATATAGTTTCATTCATACATACATAAGAGTTACCAACTTTTAGAGTGTGGCCATGGGTTTGGCCATCACAGATGTCATGACTTACAGTATATCGGGATTCTAATATGT